TTAATCATAGAAACTAAAAGTCGCAATTATTTAAATTGTCAGACTTAAAATTGTCGAATGTAATGAACACCCTTTGAAGTCAAACGACCCCTCTTATCAGACCTTATTATCATATATAAATATGACTTATTTGCTGATAAATAAATTTTATATTTGTTTCATTATTTTTTGAGACTGTCCTTTACTTTTTTCTGAATAGATTTAAAAATACGGACAATAAAATATTTAGCAAGTAAAATTATGATTTACTATATCAAAAAGTTAAACAATCCAGTGGCTCTATTATTAATAAAAAAATTATTACCAATTTTGATTAAAAATGAGGGGAATATTCAAGTTCAAAAATTTATGAAGTCAGCATAACAAATTGATTAATTTCTGGAGAAATAGGAATTTGATCACTCATCTTTTTTCTACTTTTTCATAAAGAAGATGCGCCCATTCCTAATGGGCTTTTAAGTAATAGCATCGGATTGAAAAGCCAACCTTTTACTTTCCTGAAAAAATGTCGAGGACAAAATTTTTAGATAAGAGCACAAGGATTCAAAGCGGTTTACGCGCCAGTCATTGTCACCTGGCCTAAAATAGAAAATGAATTTATTTAGAATTTGTAGAAAACCTTTACGAATCGGGTGTGGGAATATTTTAGTTTTGCCACTTTTCATATGTCATGTAATCAAGATACGATTCTCGAAATTGAAAAAGGCAAAAACGGGAGAAAATTCGAAAGGTTGAGATGGTCCGAGTGGATCGAAGTCACGATAGCTCAAATGACGGTGTATTGAGCCGATGGTCGTGGGTTCGAATCCCTCTCGTGACACTAGCTTTTTCATTTCAACCAATATTAAGGTATAATACATAAAGATTAATTAATTGAAAGAAATTATTTGGTCAATCGGACCGAAAATATAATGTGGTTGCTAATCAATTTTACTCAGAGTATGTATTTTCAAAATCTTCATTAACAAACGTCAATTTTACATATAAAAAAGATTTCACTAATTAAATAGAAAATTCCAATAGATCAAATTATTGTACAAAATTATACAAGAGGTTGATTTTAATTAATTTTTCAAAATATCTAACTATTACAATATAAAACAGTTAACGACTTTCAACTTCATAAAATCATTCAAATGTAAGCTTCATATTTTGTTGCTAAGTATGAACCATGGAAATATGACGGAAAAAATGTAAACATTCGGAAGGGTATAAGTACTTGGGCTTTACCCTCAGACTTAATTTCAAAAACATCTAAAAGAAAAAACCAAAACCGTAAACTACCTTAAAGACTGTATGGAACCTCTTCAGATCTGAAGCTTTCAAGAATATGAAGAAGTCGAAAGTCTCCAGAGACACTTTAATCAAAAGCTGTTCTGTATGCCTAAGAGTTGTCCAGATTATATACTTTATCTCGAAAGTAACAGATGGCCTACGATCATTTTTACGGTTTCCCTACTTATTAACTATATTCAAAAAGCCCTTCAATGTTCAAGACAAAGTCTTACGAACAAGTTAATAGAAGCGATAATGACAAAAAATATTTTGGTATGATTCGTTTGTTAAACAATGTGTACAAATGGAATATAATATCATTGAAATTATATCGACAAAAAATAGCATATATTTCAATAACTTCCTAGAAGATTTAAAACTAAAGTTCAGAAAAAGGTCTCATTTGGAGGAGAAAATGCACGCGTTTACAATCATTACAAGCTATCAAGTTCACGAAGTTTTTTATGTCTATAATTATAAAAACTAGGATCGAAATGCTAAATTTAAATTGTTCAAACACTAGATACGTGGAGAGACGCAAGTGATCTCACTGCAATATGTTAGCAGATGAAATTGTCTTTCATTTTTTATCCCTCTGCCCAATTCTGAGTAACTACAGAAATTTATTTTTACAGTCGTTCGAATTAAATTGGAATACATTTTTCGGATATTCGAATTATTTGGACATGGAGAGATGCGGTCTGGTGTGACATAGGTTTTAGAAAAACAATTTCTTTATCGTTCTAACGTTTCGATCTTTATTGAGATCGTCTTCAGAGTTCAAATTGTTTGTTTTCCGTGTAGATGTGTCATTATTGTCTGCGTGTTGGGAGGCACTCAACAAGGTCTATGGTTATGTTATATATTTATGATTGATTGTTTTTGAAATTAAACATTATTGAACGAATTGTATGTGAACATTTGTTCTCTGTTCCTTCTCACTTCTATTGATAATAGAGGACTCTCTCTCACTCTCTCTCTCACTCTCTCTCTCTCTCTCTCTCTCTCTCTTTCTCTCTCTCTCTCTCTCTCTATCTATCTATCTATCTATCTATCTATCTATCTATCGCTCTCCCTCCCTCCCTCTCCCTCTCTCTCTCTCTCTCTTTCTTTATCTATATATCTATCTTGCAATCTTTCTCTTACTCTCTCTTTCTTTCTTTTTTGTTCTAATTGTTTTTCTATCTATTGTATAGTACACAGATCTCTCGGTTCTTCTTTCTCTCTCTGCTTGTTAATTGTAAAAGATGTCGATCGCTCCCTAAATTTGCATAAATTGTCTCTCTCGCTCTCTCTCTTTCTCTCACTCTCTCTTTCTTTCTTTCTGACTTTCTTCTATTTTCATCTTTCATTGACTTTCTCTGATGATCTCTATCCCCTCTCACTCTTTCTCTCTCCCTTTCTCTCTCTTTCTCTCCCTCTCTCTCTCTTTCTCTCATTCTCTCTCACTCTCTCTCTTTCTTTCTTTCTTACTTCCTTTTATTTTCATCTTTCATTGACTTTCTCTGATGATCTCTATCCCCTCTCTCTCTCTCTCTCTCTCTCTCTCTCTCTCTCTCTCTCGCCTTCCTCTGTCAACACCAGGCAATAATCATCAAGTAACGGTCACTAAACACCACCTAAAATATTTAAAAGGACGAAATTGGCAAGAATTACATTAAATTATAGAAATCACTTGACACAAGAATTTAGTTATTAAATTAATGTATTTAACTATTTTTTTATTTTTATTTTTTTGGCCTTGTGTTTTCACATCTGCATATCAATATGTATTTATTTATGTTTACTTATTTATTGTCGTGTTTTACAGTTTGAATCTATAACTTGTTAATGTTGTGTGGGATCGGAAATAGTATTCAAAGTCTATTTATTTTGTGAATGTTAAATTGAGTACTGTATACATTATTTATAAATTTATTTATAGTTGTTATGAGTTATAAATGGTTTATGGACCAATATATATTAAACTAATTTATTCGTCACAATTTGAGAAATAGTTTATATATGTACGCTTGTATATTGTATTGTTTTTTTCTCTGTTTCTGATTCAATACGGGATTAAATGCCATTTAAAAATATTATATATATATATATTATTTGTGCCAACATCCGCAGACAGATGATATCTCAATTGAGTATATGATTTTGGTACAGTACATATTTGTACGCTGTTTTTTGAGGAAAAGAAATACAAAGCATTTCTATTTTATTGTATACTATTTTGTTGATATCGTACATTATTTATTCAACGTTCTGATCGATTTGACATATGAGACTAATAATTAAAATTTTTAGGAAATATTTTTTTTTAATTTAACGTTTTAATGGTCAATTGACTAACTTATTTCTTTCAATTAGTTTTTCTTTTATGTAAGGTCTTGGTTTTGGTGAAAATTCGAATCGTGACACTGACTTTTTTTATTTGAACCAACACCTTACATAGAAAGATTAATTAATATTTTAAAATGTTGTTCAAATCTATTTACACATTGGAAAAATATATTCGATTTTTTAAAAAGCGCTTCTTTTCACCGGAGGTTTAATTTTACATTGGTATCTCTGTAGATAAATTGCGAAATTCTGCAACGAATGTGAAATAATATTTTCGGTTATTTTTAGTATATCTCGCTCATTTTTGCGTCAATTGACTAACGAAGGTCGGATTCACCTTTTCCAACATATTTTCGCGTGATAAAAACGTGTAAGAAAGAAGAATGGTAAATAAATGGAAGGATTGATAGATAAGTAGAAAAAGAGCGAGAGAGAGAGAGAGAGAGAGAGAGAGAGAGAGAGTGAGAGAGTGAGAAAGAAATTGAGTGAGAGGAGCGGGCACATAACGCACACACTCAACACGTATACATAATTCAAAATATTCTCAATTTTTTAACCACACTTTAACTGAAAATTTGTTCATTGGTATCTCTATAGATACATTGCCAAATTCTGCAACGAATGTGAAATAATATTTTCGCTTAGTTTTGCCTTTTCCTTTCATTTTTGAGTGATAAAGATGTTAAAGCAAGAAGAATGGTAGATAGATGGATAGATTGATAGATAGGTAGAAAGAGAGCGAGAAAGAGAGAGAGAGAGAGTGAGAGAGAGAGAGAATGAGGGTGAGTCCGAGAAAAGCAGGCACATAACACACATACTTAACATGTATACATAATTATCGTAATAATAATACAATATAATAATGATATATATAATCTGCTCCTATTCAGCCTTTGATTCTTTAGTCTACTCAGGCTTACAATATGCAATATTTTTTTACATAGAAGAGTGAATTTTCTATGCTAGTTTTTTTTTCTGCATAAAAATTATTTATAATTTTCAAAAATTACCTTCAGTTTAAATACATCCCAGGAGATTATACGAATAAAAACGTTTCGGCGCATTATTTAAAAAAAAACACTACTCTTATGTTAGTTTAAGAACAATTTGTACGCAAGAAAAAACATATTTGAGTAGTTTTTCTAATTATCTAAATAAATTGTAAAAAATATAAGAACCTACCTTCTGGAAATATTGTACCGAAAAAATACAATTAAGCTAAAGGGACACACAGAATTAATTTCTACAAGTTTCCCATTGCGAATTATTTCTTGTATTTTTTTCTTGTATTTCTAGAGATACTTTGCCATATTAATTTTGGTGCAAAAAAAATCTTAAAACTGCTTAATATTTATACGATAATATTGTTAATAATATGTTGTTTTTTTTTTCAGCTATATTTGGGGACCATAGCCGATTTGGAAACGAAACAGCAAAGATCGCTGGATGTGCGAAACTTCTGTTCTCCCAGTCTCGTAAGTATTTTTATTAATTTCTCATTTAAAAAATCTTTAACAACACTTTAAAAATTTAAACAATTTAGGTGATTTTTTAAAGGTTGTCTATGTGCTTAAATAATCCAATGGGTTTTTTCCTTTTCCTGAGTGAATATTTTAACTTAAAAACGACATATTCTAACAAATATATAATTGGTAAAGTTTGTTTGACATTGTGAAAATAGTTTTATTTAAAACATTTGATTAATTTGTACTGTCTTTTGTAGGGCTTTTTTGAGGTCCCTCTCGTTTTTCTTACAATGTCTCCTTTTCTAACTAAATTTAAACTCCCTTCTCGCGTTCTTTGTGTCTGCCTAATTTCGTCTCCATTTAACGCTTTGTTAATTTTTTTTAAAGGAGAAATTTTATTAGAACTAAAAGCGAACAGTAATTTGCCTTAGCGTTGGGCGGAAGGTTTTTACAACAAAAAGTGAACGTGTTGAGCAGCTTTAACGATGTTGCACATCCAGTAGGAACCTTTTACCAAGTTTTAATATTTCACGCTGTTGCTTTTCTCCCGGCTTGACTTCTTTGGGCCAAATTTAAGACGGTAAAAAGCCGCTTTTCTTATAAAAGTCGACGTCATGTTTATATTACTGAACGATTAGTTACGATAAAATAAAAAAATTGGTTTTACTAAAAAACAAGATTACTTTTAAAGACAAGAAAAACAGCCAGTTCCTTAGGCACGTTTTCGCATATTAAATCAACTTCATCAGGACCTTTTTGAGTTCAAACACAGTGAATGTGGATGATTTTTCTAGTCGATAATGAATCGAGTTGAAACGAACAGTTTAAAAACTGTAAAATGAATCTCCCTGGCCCATATTTTGAGGATAATTATTCAGAAATCGTGAGATGAGGTCTGGTGTGATGTAGGTTTCAGAAAAACATTTTCTTTATCACTGTCAACACGACACGCAAGAATGGCACAATTACAGAGAAGACAAACACTTTGAGCCCTGAAGATGATCTCAATAAAGATCGAAACGTTGGCACGATAAAGAAAATGCAGAGACCGCATCTCACGATTTCTGAATAATTATCGATTAACGGTCATCACCACACATTTTCAGTATAATTTAAGTAAATACCATAAAATTACATAAAATTAACTCTTTAATTTTAATCATTAATATTTAAGCGATTTAATAATAATTACGAAATTTTTCAATATTGTGATAACATGATTAATTATGTTTCCTTTTACGGTTTATTTTGTTTATTGGAATGGGTAATGTTTGTTGTGCGATCAACCAGCCTTCATACGATGTTGATTGGGATTCGGTTTGTGGTCTTCAAACATACAATGTTATTATATCAACGCCCAAGCTTTCGACAAGTTTTATTGCCTTCTTCAGGGGATCTACAGAGACATAGGGACATAATCATTTAGACAGTTATAAATTGTATAAATAGTTATAAAATATGAGTTTTTTGTTACTTACAGATACAAAGTCAAATAGTAAACACATTGCACATTACACGATATGTATACAAACAAACTATATACATATATAATAAATAAATAAATAAAAACCTCTTCTTAACAGCCTCTTACATATATAGGCATTTTTTAAAACCAGTAACAATTACTTAATAAATAATATTCTTTTGGTACATAAATATCACAGGCGTTTGACTAGAAAATTGTTTTTATCACGTTATCAGATGGGAGGTTCCCCACACTTTATCACCTAATGATAACAATCATTTCCCACAATTTTTAAAACAAGATCTTAATTTCTAATACATTGGTAATTCTGTTATCACAGCCTGTTATAATATATAAATAAATAAATAACTAAATAAATAAATAGATAAATAAATAAATATGTACGCAAGTATTGTTACGATCTTTTGAGAGAGACCGTATCTTTTTCTAGAATCCCACTGTACATCACACTTAAATTATTCAAATCTGTTTTTAAATTACAGGCCATGTTGTCTTGATGAATAGATATCATTTCCCTCAAAAGTCTACGACCTGTATTTTGTTCAGAAGCCACAATTTTGACTCCATCGAAGTCAAAATTATGTTTCGTAGCGTGTGTATGTTTGGATAGTGCTGTTCCAGGCCTTTCTTCATCATTGCAATCATACTTATGTTGCCGCACACTTTCGGATAAATATTGTTTTATTTGGCCGTAATACACAGTGGGACATTGTGCACATTTAATGCGATACACTACATTCGATTTTTGTAGTAGAGGTTCTTTACATTTAAGTTTTGTGTAAAAATTCTTACCTAGTTTATTGCTAAATTTGTAAACAATTTTTACATCATCTATTTTTCCTTTCAACAGTTTTTTTAACTTGCTTGATGTTCCAACTACATATGTAACTGGTTGATAAAGTTTCCGCTCGACAGTTATATTCTCAACCCTTGTTGCTCTTGTCTTGTTTTCCATTAATCTATTTATTAATGATCTTGGATAACCATTGTCTATTAACATAGAGCGCACTTTTTCCTTGTTCTCACTATGGAAACGATCATCACACAATTTCAGAGCCCTGTCCATGATGTTAAAAACTATGTTAGCTTATTTTGAAAGGAATGGTTGGATGAGAAATGTAGCATCCTATCCGAGCTGGTTGGTTTCCAATACCAGTTAGTTATTAATTTACCATTATCTCTAATGAACAACCTCCCACCTGATAACTTGGCGTTATCGTAATTTTGAGGGAAATGATATCTATTCATCAAGACAACATGGCCTGTAATTTAAAAACAGATTTGAATAATTTAAGTGTGATGTACAGTGGGATTCTAGAAAAAGATAAGGTCTCACTCAAAAGATCGTAACAATACTTGCGTACATATTTATTTATTTATCCATTTATTTATTTAGTTATTTATTTATATATTTTAACAGGCTGTGATAACATAGAATTACCAATGTATTAGAAATTAAGATCTTGTTTTTAAAAATTGTGGGAAATTATTGTTATCATTATGTGATAACGTGGGGAACCTCCCACCTGATAACGTGATAAACACAATTTTCTAGTCAAACGCCTGTGATATTTATGTACCAAAAGAATATTATTTATTAAGTAATTGTTACTGGTTTTAAAAAATGCCTATATATGTAAGAGGCTGTTAAGAAGAGGTTTTTATTTATTTATTTATTATATATGTATATAGTTTGTTTGTATACATATCGTGTAATGTGCAATGTGTTTACGATTTGACTTTGTATCTGTAAGTAACAAAAAACTGATATTTTATAACTATTTATACAATTTATAACTGTCTAAATGATTATGTCCCTATGTCTCTGTAGATCCCCTGAAGAAGGCAATAAAACTTGTCGAAAGCTTGGGCGTTGATATAATTACATTGTATGTTTGAAGACCACAACCCGAATCCCAATCAACATGGAATGGGTAATGTTTTATTTATAAAATACTTTCACATCCTCATTGTATGTTCCTTATTATCCATCATGAAACGGAAAATTTGTTCTTTTGGAATCTGTGATCACATGGTACCTGTCTTGTGTTTGACCCAGAATTTTATATTAAAAATTAATTATATATTTAACCCGTTGTATTAATTACAAGAAATGTGTTTCTAGTTGTCGACGGAATCCTTTCCAACAGATTTTCTCCAATTAATTAATTAAAATTACAGTTTGAAGCTAATATTGGTGAAATTTTCTTTGATGTTACGCACCGTTTGCAATCACGTCGTGTATTACATTTTTGTCATCGGGTTTTAAAATATAATAGTTTTTTGTTTTTTCATTTTTGCTAGTTTTCTAGTTGAGTAAATTCCCTCACAAATTGGATGTTTATTTGACATTCAATTTACCGTTCGTTATTATATTTTTGTTATCTAGTGCAAAAAATAGTAACCATAAATTTATTATTTTATCGTCGATTGGCGCGTTAACATGAATAGGTTTTTGGTCGGGATGTTCAAATAATTTTTGCGTGGCGTTTTCTGTGTCATCTATTTGCGTTACCGGTAGAACGCAGTGTGGTTAGAGTTAGGAGTAGATTAGGTGCGGTTAGGTTAGGTTTGGTAAAGAATCTTTACAAAAAGTAGGGTTAAGAAAGGCCGTGTACGGAGTTAGGATAATAATAGTTGTTTGTTAGGGTTTTCGTATATATCGATCATTTATTGTTTTTGAGTTAAACATTATTGAACGAAATGAATGTGAACATTTGTTCCCTTTTCCTTCTCATTTCTATCGATAGTAGAGTTCTCTCTCTCACTATCTCTCTCTCTCTCTCTCTCTCTCTCTCTCTCTCTCTCTCTCTCTCCCTCTCTCTCTCTCTCTCTCTCTATGTGTGTATATATATATATATATATCTCCCCTTCTATTTTTGTTTATTTTTCTTACTTCCTTTTATTGTCATCTTTCATTTACTTTTTTGATGTTTTCTCTTTTCCTCTCTCTCTCTCCCTCACTCTCCCCTCTCTGTCTGTCTCTCCCTCTCTCTCTCTCTCTCTCTCTATGTGTGTATATATATATATATATATATCCCCTTCTATTTTTGTTTATTTTTCTTACTTCCTTTTATTGTCATCTTTCATTTACTTTTTTGATGTTTTCTCTTTTCCTCTCTCTCTCTCTCTCTCTCTCTCTCTCTCTCTCTCTCTCTCTCTCTCTCTCTCTCTCTCTCGTACGATTGGTCAACAGGTCAACACGTCCTACATCTGCACGTATCATAAATAGAATATTTTAATTCACTTCTCTCCCATTTTCCCCCCTATTTCTTCTTTTGTTCATTATCTTTCTTCCTTTATATTCTCACTCTCTCTCTATTTTTGTTTAACTTTCTTGCTTCTTTCTATTTTCATCTGTCATATACTCTCTCTCTTCTTCTATTTTGTTTATCCTTCTTATTTCTATCTCTCTCTATCTATCAATCTATTTATCTATCTATCTATCTATCTATCTATCTATCTATGTCTTGTAAGAAAGGTCAATACGTTCCCCCCTATTTCTTCTATTGTTCATTATCTT